AACGACAAAAAGGACTTCCGAAGTTCATTTGCTTCCTTATTTAAACAAAAGCCTATGAAAGACCGAGCATAACGTCCGTACTGGAGAATCATCAGGTTTACCAAACTATTTGCATTGCGTACGAATGGTGTTTATGCTGTTTTCAGTATGAGTATGACCACCAACGGATGAACCAAATATTAAATCTTTGGATATATTCCTTTAAAGTGCAAACATGGTTGATCAGCCTAACTTAGAACACAGGTTGATCAACCAGGATAAAACATGAACATAAATGAAAAACACGAAGAAATACACTATTTGATTCCAAGATGAGCAGCTTAAACCTGAAAAACATCTTGATTTTTAAAAATTAACAAATGAATAAATAATGAAATAAATAATAATGAAACGGTTCCTAGAAATGTTAACAAGGTCATGAAGTCAGGAAGCTTTCGGAATATGAAAAGCCGTTCCTTCGACAGCACGCAGAATTGTGACTTTCCGACCCAGAGAGCATTTGTCATAATTGGACACATTAGAAAAGTTACAGTATGACTGCATTAGGTCTATAAATGCTTGACTTGATTAGTGGAACGTTCAATTCCTTATTTTAAAAGCACTTAGCTTAAGCCGTAAATATTTCCTACAGGCTAAAACAATCGTTAAAATTTCTACTTCTGCTGGCTGCGATGTAAAGAGATAGCTTAATTAACAGCTCTGTTCTGTAAATTCGATCGACCAACCGATTTCCTAGATGAGTGAATGAAATTCCGATTAACCAATGACAAGTCCCTAATGTTTTTGCCACGTTCGAATGCTATCATGACGCAAATGCAAATTTGGTCGTAGATATGACATGGGATTCTCATTCTGAGCTGCTGAGATCCATGCTAATTCAAGATGAAAGTTTCTTAAGATGCTGTTGTCCCTGCAGATAAACAAGTTAAAACCATAGAATTTCTTCAGATATACCTGAGGTATAAAATTCCAAAACTGAAAAAAAAACAATAGAAGAAAATATATTATCGATGCTGAATTAGTTGAAACTCGGATATGTGTTAAGAATCCGTTACTTGTCTTGTCCTTCATGCTTCCAACCGTGCAGTCACAAGACGTGTGACCATTTGTATTTGTGCCATTTTTTGTTTTTTTCTATCTGGTTTGGATTTTTTCCATGCTTTCAGCAGATTCTCTAATGTCCTCTCGTTTACCAACCACTTCCGCCTGTCTTTAATGCTGAAAACTTCACCTTTGCAGTCGTCCGATCATAAAAATTTTCAAAAAGACACTAATACAAGAGAGAATGAGGGCTGGACCACAACTGGGGCGTTTCAATGCGGCATAAATTAAATATCTGGCATAACTTTTCAGATATCTTACAAGAAGTACGCTTTCTGACCTAATGACAAAAGTGAATTGTTGATGATGACGTAAAGTGGTTGAATCTGTTGGAAACGAACGAAAACAACCCATATACATCCGTGGACACGATACAACATATTTTATTAAGAAACGGTAGTAATTCTGATAAAAGTGAACAGATACCCAAATTAACGGTATTCGTGACCAGAGTAGCTAACAGCCTTAACGCCCCTTCGATCATTGCGCTTGCCCATTCAGGTCGTAGGGGTGATGTGGCGCATATGGCCGGAGAAAACGACAGTAACTCTAACGTCTGAAACCTGAAAGTCAGTAAAAAATACGACCAAAGTTGAGAAGAAAGTAAAGTTGGTAAACGACCTGTCAAACACGGTGAGTGTAAAGAAGTTTGGGTCAAGTTGGCTCGCGCACAGCTATAAAAGAGGCCAGCGTCAAAACTTTCGTCAGTCACAATTTTGCAAAATACACTTGCCTGCAAAACATAGTAATCCAGATCGACCAATGAAGAACAGGAATGGGACTGAACATAAAAATAGGATTGATGACGCATCGAAGTACCGTTTCGAACCCACATATTGCACGCTATTTCAGAGCGACCGACCTAAAAAAACATGTTAACAAAAGCTGACACTAACAAACTGAGGAGCAGTTAAAAACAGGACAGCCACAAGGATATGTCGAACTGACATATACCTAAAATTCAGTAGGTATTTCACTGCAACAAGAGGCTACCAACAAATAGTATAGTTTTCTTCAATGCAGGAAATCGCAGGAACGGTGTTCATGTATTTCCTCTGATTTAAAACAGATTCGACCGTCGTCGACCGACACGCACCGTCGTTTGTTGACAAGCGAGAAGAGCACTCTTTCTATGATCTTTTGTGAACGTTTGGCACTCTTATTCTCATGGCGGTGGTAGTCTACAGCGACTAAATTAAAGACTCGACCTCCCTTCAACCAAACAAAATACTTCACAGAAGGCGCTACCAACAACTATCTTTTCGGAATATTAGAACATCAGTCCAAAAATATTCAAACTTTAAGCATACATTTCGGTTCAACGATATTTTGAATGAAATAATTTAACAGGTTATTTAACTTCTGTAAATCACACGCAACAAAGTTATAACTGGTTATAATACAAATTACATCTATTTAACAATCATTTAACAGCAGATCTACGGAGGATATCCACGAATCAACAGTTCACTGGTTTAACGATTTGAAGTACCTGAATCTGTAGTGGATGAAGCATCAGCAGACGTAAGAACGATTTAGAAGGCATAATCACGGACATCTTCTGCTTCAAAGCCAAACTTATAACTGCAGCAAACACGCGGTGAAGAGGAATATGAAAACATAGTTCCAAACGAGGCAGTTCGAATGGATAACTGTTCTAAAAGTAAACAAGACACGAGATCAATTAGGCAGGACACAAATCGACTGACACAATGAATGCAATATCGAACAGTAAATGGGTTCAAACTTATGACATTCGAAGTAGCTGTTATTTTATAGCTATTTTAAGGTAATAAAGCAAGAACAATGGAAAAGCAACGATAAGTCATTTGTAGTCATTTGAAGCGGAGTCTTATATTTACATTAAGCAGCGTTCCCTGTTACAACAAAAGTCATATTTTTCGCTGCAAGCAGAACTTCCTTAACAAACAATTTCATAGTTTAACTCACCAATGCGTCTGCGCTGATTCCCATAAATGAAGCTCTGAACAAACATATTATTATCAAGGCTCTCTTAGCAAAACACTGCTAGCAGTTAATGCTACGATAAGGGCCATATAATTAGCATGAACTACTTTGCATGTCCAGTATCATAATCATAACTACCATCACCTCTCTATATTTTCATTAAGGGTAAGCCTGCGCGACGCTTCACTTTCCGGGCATGCTTCTTGAACAATCGGGAGATGATGCAATGAAAAAAACGCACGACCTCCGTCTCTGGACAGAACGGAAATCAGCAAACAACGATGACTATTGTCAGTAGTACCCAAACTATTTACACGCATGACAGTTACGGCACTCTATTTCTTGTATGATGAATATGACGCAAGCATAAAGATGCACCATCTGCGTATCTATGTATAAATGCTAATTAATTTTATCGGAACACCTTGTACAAATCATATAAAATACAGTAATACCAAAATTATGAAAAGATATCATTGCAACCTCGCACATAATATATCCATACAATGGTATTTTGGTACAAGGTATTTTGATGTACTTAAACACTATTATTAATCAGAATGTGATACTACAGATATATTCGACAATACTTACAGTACTCTAATTTATATGATTAATAATAAGCATTCATGAAGATACATTACAGATACAATATATATGCATGAAAAGATAGTCATTGCAGTAACTAATATACGTAACGCGCGTAATGTTGCGTACCACACATGCGCAGAAATTGAAACTGTCCCACTGAAAGCATGCAATTCGTATACTCTTATGGGTTTAGGTGGTAACTATTGTACCTCGGAATTAAAATAAATGCATATAACATTTGTGGCAATATGAATGCATGCACTCATGCAATATTACAAATACTCTATCTGAGCACGCCCAATAACTGTTTTATTAATGCTACCGAACAGACAGGCAATTCGTATCGAACTGGTTTGTGGTTCAATCTAAGCCGGTAATACCGCAGTTCAACTGGATTATTACTTAGTCTAAGACTGAGCAATGATGCATGCAGTATTTTTAATTTAAATTTACGCCGTGGCTTTGATGTACATTCAAACTCATGTAGGAATGCGGCAAACACATTACTACTCTGGATTGTAAAGCAAGTAAATTACTTTTAGTCCATACCGCTATGGATGGTAAAATATATTCATTTCTACTTAATATATGCCATTGTATACGGTTACCAATTATCAGCTATACATGTACAAATAATAATAGCACATTATATACGGTTATAAACACAACTCTGTCATATGAACAGTAATTATGTAAACGAGTTGCAACGATGACTTTATGGGGAAAAGTCACGTCCTCAAGAGAGCGTGAAAAATTCTTACATAAGTATAAGGTAAAGTAATATATAGTATAAGTTTATTTGTTAGAAAACGCATTTTCTTTCTATTGTTAAGTATACTACTGTCTTATCCTTCTTGATCAAGAGTCCTCACCAGCCGGTCCGAAAGTAGACAGTACGGGAAATCCGTTTTCGCCGTGCTTTGTACATATGAATGCCCCCAATTCATTCCGTGTCTCAATTCACAGCCAAAGTTGTAAGCATGTAAAAATATGGTAGCATTCATTC